TTGCTGAAATGCGTGCTATTTCCTCTCACTAGAAAGTCTCCTCCTCTCTTTATAATAAAATATTATTCACCTTTCACAGCCCGTTTCAGGTGCTACCTAAGCTGGGAGTTCTCCTGGGCCTTCCCCTCCCTGGGTCCTTGCTCTGAGAAGCCTCAGTGCTGTTTCTCTCTCACACACTGAGCTTTCCCTTGTGACGTGGGATCGTTCTCAGCTCCCCTCTGAGCATCTGAGGGGGGCTCCTCTCTCACCGATACCCTCCCACACCCCCCGGGGCCTGGCCCCTCCACACTCACCACCTGCAAGAGCTCATGGGTGCGGGTCTGTTCCCCACATGCACTCCAATGCCTGGCATGTCCAGAGGTACAGCTGGCAGGCCGTCTGCGGTCACACTCAGACCCCGGCGCTAACCTTATTCCATTTAAGGGGGGCAGCCCGAGCCCAGGCAAAGAAGAATGTTCCCAGGCATGAGTGCAGCGGAAGTGAGGAGGGGCAGCTCCTGGCAGTGCCCCAGGGGAACATCAAATTTAGCCCAAAGGTTGAATACATATATATTTAATGACAGAAAACAGAACATTAACCTAGTTTAGAAAATAAGGGGGATTACAGCCCCCCACAGACCCACCCTCTGCCACAACCGCTTCACCTTTCTTCCTTTCAGGTCTCTGTTCTTACTAGTGCCTGTCTGTCCGCATTGTCATCAGGGTGGACATACTATTCTGTATCTTGCCTTTTAAGACTCTGGGGTAAGCACTCAAGGAAAGCCTGCTGCAGACAGCGCGATGGCGTCTGAATCCCAGTTCTGCCACCTACTAGCTATGCAGTCACTGAATGCTTCTGTCTCCTTTCCTGTAAAGTGGGGTCACATGGCCTCACAGGACTACTACAAGGATGAAACAGTAATTCATAAAACCTGTTTAAAAATAAAATAAAATCTCTTAGAAAAACACCTAGAAAACAGCACTGAACAAATACAAGCTTCTTTTATAATTATTACCAAAATATGTGGGGTTTTTAAAAATATATTTTTATTATTGATCTCAGAGAGGAAGGGAGAGGGAGAGAGAGAGAGAAACATCAATGATGAGAGAGAATCATTGATCAGCTGCCTCCTACATGCTCTACCCTGGGATGGAGCCCACAACCTGGCACATGCCATGACCAGAAATCAAACCGTGACCTCCTGGTTCATAGGTCCACACTCAGCCCCTGAGCCATGCCAGCAAGGCTGTGGGGGGCGGGGAGGCGGGGTTAATTGACTTTTCCTTAGCCCACATGCCCTATACAGGTTGTTCCACTGGTTTCCATATGTGCAATTTTAACCCCAAGCATTTGTAAGCCTAAACCCCTCCCAGTTCTATCTCAGCCCATTCAGAGAAAAGGCCCGCGCTGACCAGGGTCAGTGCCCAGGCGATGAGCTCTCCTGACCCGGTTCCTGTCTGAGGAAGCCCCTATTGGGAAGACCATGTGCCCCGTCACAAGGGCCTTGATCAGGGTGATAAAAAAGTCAGCTAAGCTGAAGGGACAGAGGGAACTTACGCCTTGTTTCCAAGCCATGACCCCCAGGTTGTGCTGGCCCTGCGTGTGGGTGAAGGAGGTGAGGGCCAACTGGGGTGCTTTCAAAGGCCCCACACCACAACCATCTCCCCTCTCACCATGCTTGAGGCGGTGCCCGGGCATCTGATGCTTGGCCATTCCTTTGGTTTGAGCATTGAAGGCATCTATTACATCATGAATATTGTCAGCAATAACTCTCAGCACCTCAGTGGAATGCTGAAAGGGTCTCCACCTTCTCCTCTGCCTAAGACTTCCTCCTGGGCCCTGCCCAGTGCCCAGCCCCAGGGTGGAGCTCTGCTTCCCCACGTTACACGCCCTCCTGGAGGCCCAGCTCCAGGCCCAGAGCAGGGGCTGTGGCCCTGCCTCCAGCTGAGCATATTCCCCACGCGCCTGCCTCCCTGTGTCTTGCACAACTTCTGTGGCCCAGTTCCCTGCTGAGTGCTCCCCTCTGTCCTTCTCCCCCTTCTCTGTGCTCTTGACTTCTTGCTTTTTAAAAACATTTGCCATTTTAACCATTTTTTAAAAGATTTTTCACTGATTTTTAAAGAGAGAAAAAAACATCAATGTGAGAGTGGAACAGCCAGTGGCTGCCTCCTGCACACCCCCTACTGGGAATCGAACCCACAGCCTTCCAGATGCCCAACCAACTGAGCCACGCCAGCCAGGGAGACTGCTTGCCGGTTCGGCTCCTCTGGGCGGCTCTCCTGGAACACGCCCGCTGGCTCTGGCCCCACCCATGTGGCCAGTCTCAGCCTGTCAGCCTGAACTGCAGGGAACAGCCTAGTTTACAAGGCCCCCGGCATGCTACGGGAATCTGTACTGAAAATGATAGTTACAACACCATGCAGGACTTTTTAGAACCTTAACATATAACCTGTACTATTTTTAAACACCACCTTTTATATGCTCCTTTCGCTTCTTTGAGTAAAACAATTTCTCTCTCCCCTAAGGCTTTTGCTGAAAGAGTATGTGTGTTTTGTAACAGCTGGTGCCAAGCAGTGTTGTTCTAGGTGTTACCTAGGTGCCGCTTGAATTCTGTGTCTTTCAAAAATGTTGGACCAGACGGAGTGAGGGACAGCTGTGTTCTGGGGTTTCCAGGAAGGGATCAGGGTTCTTCTCCCACGCATCATGCCTGGTTTCTTCTCACAGGCAGATCTCAGCATCAGTGTTACCTCCTCCGACAGGACTTCCTGCCCACCCCTCTGAGAAAGCTTCCTCCCCACCTTTGCCAGCCCCCTATCTGTCTCCTTCTTGACACTCAACCACAATGTGTAATTTTGTTTGTTTACTCGGGGTACTGTGACTCCCCCGTCACACTGTAAGCTCCAGCAGGCAGGAACCATATCTGTTTTATAGAATCGTATTTCTAACGCCTAAGACAGTGCCTGGCCCAATGTAGTGCTCAACAAATGTTTGTTGAATGAATGTCTTTCTCTTTTCCAATTGAAATGATAATAAACAAATGTATAGACTATCCCCATTTCTGTTGCCCATTAGGTGACCAACAAAAGTGAAACCCCTGATCCTATTCTACTTACATATATTTTTAAAATATATTTTATTGATTTTCTACAGAAAGGAAGGGTGAAGGATAGAGAATTAGAAACATCGATGAGAGAGAAACATCGATCAGATGCTTCCTGCATACCCCCTACTGGGAATATGCCTGCAACCAAGGTACATGCCCTTGACCGGAATCGAACCTGGGACCCTTGAGTCTGCAGGCCGACGCTCTATCCACTGAGCCAAACCGGTTAGGGCTCTATTTACCTATTATTTGTAAATTCTGCTCAATGTCAAGGGCCAATACGCCGGCCAAAGATGGGGGCTTCCAGGATCTACTAAGGATTGGGAAGTGGGCAGCTGATCTGAAGCAGCTCCTTCCAGCCCAGCTGTTCTCTTCATCTCCACATGCAAGAAAGCAGCTCTTCGAGACCCCTGCAAGGTGCCTAGTGCCTTCATTCTTTTGTTTTTCCTCTGCTCTCAAGATTTGCTTTTAGGAAGAAATCTGAAACTCAGTCCTAGTATGATTCTTTATAGAAGTGTTATTAACAGTTTAACCACCTCAACACTTTCGCCGAAGGAATAAAAAAACACCAGTGTAGGCATTCTGGTCTTATCTGGCACTGGAGGAGGGAAATGAAGGAAAGGAGCCTACAACTGAGTGTGTTCACTATATTATTATCCAGCTTACCATCTTCATTGGTGAACTGTTGGGGAGGGAGGGAAGGAAAGAGGAAATGAGAGTAGATACATGAGGTTGAAATCTTGCTATAAAACAAGTCCCTTGGCATTTGCAGAGTGGGTGTAATATAAACTGTTAAGTGTTAACAGCTATGTTTATAAAACCATGAGATGCACTTCTTTTTTTTCTGGGAGATAAAAAAGGATCCAGATGCTTTTTCCAGTTGGACTACGCAGCACCTCTGGGCTGGCGCCTGGCCCTTGGACAGAGGCCACGGCACCCGAGCCCCTCAACAAGGTGTCACAAGGTGTGCTCTCTGCTCTCTCTGCAGCCCTTTTCAAAACAGCTTCCTTCCCGGATAAACAAGACTGACTGACGGTTCAGGCAGCACTTCTATGCGTTTTGCCAGCCTCTGTTTCTTCCTCTGGGAAATGGCACCCATGTGTCGGTGAAGGGCAGGGTGGTTCCTTGACCCTTTCAGAGCAACAGTCTTTTCTCCTCCTTCATAAAGATAAGACCTCAATCAGAAAGGCCATGAGAAGCTGCCCCGCTACCGAGAATCTTAACCCTCAGTTTCCATGTCAGTAAAAGGGGTTACCAAGGCCTATCTCACAGTCACCCGTGAGGTTTTCACTTCTCTAAAGCCTTAGCTACTCTTGAAGGCCCGGGGAAGGTCTCTCCCCATCTATGTAGTTTTTCCATCTGTATCATTTTTTGGAGCCTTGTGGTTCTTAGATTAACAATAAATGAATTCGCATGTAATTCAATTCTAATTGATTCCTTTATGGGGGTTCATTTGACCACCTTAGGCAGATTGTGGGGTCCACAAAGGGAAGTCTTGGAATCATCTCTTAACATAGCAGATTTTCAAATACGATATACTCAACATAATAACAAAAATACTAAAGGTAATAACAGCAACAATGCCAACAATTACCATCTAATGACAGACCGTTATTTCCCAGGCACTCTGCTGAATTCTTTATGACGTTTCTCACTGAACAACCCTGTGAGGTAGATATGACTGGGTTCAGTTTACAGGTGGGGGAACCAAGGCTCAGAGATCAAGTAGCTGGACTCCAGCTGTAAGTCAGCAGCTGGGACTTCCACCCTTGCATGTCCGACTCTAAAGCTCGTTGCTCTACTGACTGGCTGATGAGTGGGGCCCATCTGCTCCCCTCCCCCACCAAGACTACCATCCTTCTCCTGTAGTCACAGCATGGAAGAGACACAAGGAGAGAAACATAGAGCCAGACTTTATTAAGACAAACTACACATAATATTTTCTTTTTCCTTCCGGAAAGGCCCATCATCAAAAACTGGTCTCACGGCGTTTCTAATTCAAGAACACTCATTTCACAAAACAAAGATCTCAGAGATGGAAGGAGAGGGAGTCTTTAGTGCTTTGTTTTGCAGAGTCTTAAGGCCAGCGCCAGACAACAGATAAGAGGGTGTCCCAGTCAGTTCCCTCTACCATCAGCCTTCTTTCCACCCACCAGTCACCTCCAAATGCCAGCAGAGGGGCCAGGAGATGGGCATGTGGGCTAGAGGCTCAGCTTCCCTCTGAGCCCACACCCTCCTCTGTCCCACCTCTTACGCCCATCCCTTTGGGCTGACAATCCTGAAAACAGTGAGGCTCAGCCCCTCTGTGAGGCATCAGAGGGGCAGGCAGAAAGACACAAGGTTCTCCAAGGTTTCCTTTCCTTATTTCAGACCTCCTTTTCCCTTCCCCCACCCCATCAGCAGGCGCGTGTGTGTGCGCGTGCCACCACCCCCCCGACTCCCTCCCACACACAGGCATTTTTAAAAGTAACCATTTCCCTATACATCTCAGAATCCAATTCTGAGCATCCTTTACGTTCATCCAAAATGACAACCCATTATGCATGGGCTGAATGGAGAGTCCAGCCCAGTCCCTGGGCAAAGCGGGCTTTTCTGAAGTCCCCTCCCGGCAGCTTCATTAGGAGCACCAGGGGGCCACAGGGATCTCTGTGCTCCTACAGGAGAACCCTGCCAGGAGAGCTGGTGTTTCCCCTACATGTCTATGCCCTCGGGGAGAAGGAGCTGGGGGCTTCCATCGCTGTCATCACACCTCTTCTCGGCACTCTAATTGGCAGTCAGCGAGGGAAATAAATAGGAAGAAAAAATCATTTTCCAGTATTTTCTCTCCTCTTTTAATTTTCATCTTCACAGCAGACTTGCTTTTTTCCCCCAAGGGGACTCTGAGAAGCACAATGTTCTATTTGTTTTAATAAGACCTGGGGAAATTCCACTGGCCTCCGTGGCTGGCAATCTGGTCAGGATCTGAGAGAGGACGATGGCTCCTTGGGTCTCCTGGCTGGTAAGGCCTGTCGGGGAGCACTGGGTGAACAGCCACGGGAGGCCAGGAAGGCATGGTGTCTGTCATCGGGCTGAACTGTGAAGAGCTACAGGGCAGGTGGTGGCAGGAATTCCAGGGAGTCTGCGCACAGTGGCTCCCAAGGGAAACGCACGGCCCCTGGCCTGCGTGCACCCCTGGCCTGCGTGCGCCCACCCCCTGGCAGAGTAAAGGCGGGACCTTTGCCAGGCGTGCATACCAAGGCACTTGTAAAGTCGAGGCTGCTGGTCAAGCTCCAAGGACCTCTTTTTAGGTAAGACTGGGTAGAGGCAGCGGCAGCCAAGGGCGGTCCAAGGCAACCTCGCTGCCGGCAAGACTTGGCCCGTGGACACCACAGGTTCCAGAGCACACCTCATGCAAGTTCCTTGGCTCATGCTCTTCACTGCTAGGAGCTCTGGGGTCTTCCTTGCAGGAGGAAGGGTACTCAGTTCACAGGCGCCATAGAGACTCAGAGAACCCTCTGGCACGTGGCTGGTGTGGAGAGAATCATCCTCTCTCGCTGGCTACCCCTCCCAGGTCAGATTTTGCCTCGGTCCCTTCCCTTGCTCTCCCCTGTTGAGCGAGTAACCTGAGTCTTCACTGAGTGCACTGGGTGGAGGGTGGGGGAGAGACAGAGGCCTGGCTAGATCTCTGACAGCACCGGCCCCAAAGGAGCAGAGCGGTGCTGAGAACAAGACAGGTGGGGTCGGCAGGAACCCCTCTTCCTTCTCTGAGCCTCCTTGGTCCCCACTTGGTCCTAGTCCCCCCCACCGGAGGGTCACACCGAGAGGTCATCGGACCTGGCCTTGCTGCTGGCCTTGCTCAGTCGGCGCTTGTCCCTCTGGTAGCCCTGGGGGAGGCCGTGCCCTGGGGAGACGCCATTGGGCGCCTCCGGCTTCTGGGCATAGCGGATGTGAATGAAACCCTCCCCGGGCATCTGCTCCTGGCCACGCACCTGCTCGGTGGCCAGGTTGTCCGTGTTTTGCTGGGAGGCCATCCTGTTGCTGAAGGGGTTGAAGAACTTGCCCCCAGGACCGTTCTCCAGGCACTGGCTGAAGTCGGGGGGCGGCGTGCAGCCCGGAGCGTAGCGGGCTTAAAATGAAAAACCTCTTACTAGGAAGCTCTGAGATATCTGGGTTCTCAAACAACTGAACCAGAAACTATCTAGATGGTATTTCCTGTTATACACCTGACGACATTAAAATTACTACGCCGCATTTTCCCACACCAAGAAAATGAGCCGGCCACCGCCAGCATGAAGACGATGAAGACGTTCTTCTCCGTGGGCCGCGACACGTAGCAGTTGACGGGGTGGGGGCAGGGGCTGCGGCGGCAGACGTGCAGCGTGTCCAGGAAGATGCCGTAGAGCAGGTACTGGCCCACGATGAAGGCCACCTCCATGGTGGTGCGGATCAGGATGCTGCACACGTAGGTGTTGAGCAGGGTGCCCCGGAGGACGATCTTGCCGTTGGCTTCCTCCCAGCAGGACAGCTCCGTCTTCTCGGCCGCCGGGAAGCCGTAGGAGCCGGCGCCCTGGCCCTCCCCGGCCCCGTGGGCGGCCTCGCGCAGCCGGCGCTTCTCCTGCATGCGCACCGTGTGCATGGCGTGGCCCATGTACACCAGCGACGGCGTGGACACGAAGATGATCTGCAGCACCCAGTAGCGGATGTGCGAGATGGGGAAGGCCTGGTCGTAGCAGACGTTCTCGCAGCCCGGCTGCATGGTGTCACACTGGAAGTCCGCCTGCTCGTCGCCCCAGGAGGACTCGGCGGCCGTGCCCAGCACCAGCATGCGGAAGATGAAGAGCACCGTGAGCCAGACCTTGCCGATCACCGTGGAGTGCTTGTGCACCTCCTCCAGGAACTCTCCCAGGAAGCTCCAGTCGCCCATCGCGGCTCAGCAGGCAGACACCTGCAAATAGGGGGAGAAAGGGAGTGGGGTGCTGCTGCCAAGGCCTGGGAGCTCCAGTCCTGCCCTGGGATGCCAGATTCACACCGGTGTGTGCTCTAAGAAAGTGCAACTAATACATCAGATTCAGCTAAAGAGCTCTCTTCTCCCGCAGATCCCCAAGCAAAAATACACAGAGAGAGATTAGAAGTGATTATATTAGCAAGCCTAGAGCATGGTTCCCACACTTTAATGGATCTAGAAATGAACTGAGATGTGTCTTACAATGTTCTTACCCCCAGAGATTCC